TTTAGGATAAAATATTCTTTTATTTTTTAAAGTGGAAAACATTATTGTATCAATCTCTGAAATTAAAAAAAAAAACACGGAATACAAAATAAGTTAATTTTTTTTATCGTTGGTTTATCTCTTGAATACATGCCTTGTTATAAATTTAAAATAATAGTGTTTATATGTAGCCGTAGATGTACATAAGTGAATTGCGAATTATGTGAGTATGTTTGGTGAAACCTTCGCTCATTCTTTTTACGTTGGTGTAGGAATTAGCGTTCCTGCTTGTGTTATGGGACAATTTGTTCTCCGGTTCGGTGAACTTACCATTACAAGTTACAACACCGTGTTTGTTGAGAATTCAATTTGAAATCTCACTCCATATTCCCTCATTCTTAATTCCTATTTCTTCTAAAGTGATTTCAGGTTCCAACATTAACAAACTCTTGACTTCACCATTCGTTTCTGATTTTACTCTAAAATCATATGGGTAGTTGTAATTGCTTTGAATCAATAAAAAAGTTGGTGTATCAAACCATCTACTCTTGCCTTTTGCATGCCCATGACATTTTCTCTATGTTACTGCCAAACTTTTGAACAATCTCATCGCTCCAAATTAAAATTTCAAAATTCCCATATATAAAAAACCAACCCAAATGCTTAATGGCCATAGAAAGCATAGCGAGGCATAACTTGCTACACAGACATGGACTTCAATCTTGCATTAGTTATTGTGGTAATGACCATTTTGGGAATTGGTCTTGATGGATGCCATAGCAAGGTTGTGCAGTTCATTTTTGGAGACTCACTCTCTGATGTGGGTAATAACATGCATCTCTCTAGAAGCCTTGCTCAAGCAAGCTTGCCTTGGTATGGCATAGACATGGGAAATGGGTTACCTAATGGAAGGTTCACTAATGGTCGCACAGTAGCTGACATAATTGGTAAACCTTATACTTTTAGCATGCATGCACTTCGCAATCAGTGACATACAAGAATCTAACTCAATTGATATCAGCATTTGATTGTTGAATTCTCAAAAGCCTCGTGGCATGATTTTTTTTAGTATTTTTACAAAATTGAAAGGTTGCTTCCTTACATTTTCTGTATGTGTATTTCAAACCTTACTAAATGCAGCAAAGTTTCTATTGTTTAGAAATGGTAGCACTTTTCTATTGTTTCTGGCTGTATACTAATACTGATGTTATACATTTCAGGTGACCGTACTGGCCTCCCTAGGCCTCCTGCATTCCTGGACCCATCTGTGAGTGGAGAAGTTATACTAGAAAATGGTGTGAACTATGCTTCTGGTGGTGGCGGCATTTTGAATGAAACCGGTGCCTATTTTGTGAGTGCCACGATTCATACACTATGTATCTTGTAGCCTTTATGCAAGTATATTTGGATGAAAATTGTGCTTCTTGCAGATCCAAAAGTTTTCCCTGGACAAACAAATTGAGCTATTTCAGGGGACACAGGAGTTGATCAGAGGTAAAATTGGAAAAAGGGCCGCTGACAAGTTTTTCAAAGAAGGTCGTTATGTTGTTGCTTTGGGGAGCAATGATTTCATCAACAACTACTTGATGCCAGTTTACAGAGATTCATGGACATACAATGATGAGACATTCATGGACTACTTAATGGGAACACTGGAAAAACAGCTAAAGGTTTACTTAGTTTTTATCCAACCACAACTTTTTTCTCTTTGTCTTCTGCATCTAATAATCAAAATCTTTTCAATTATGGTATGTTTGTGTTTAGTTACTTCATAGTTTAGGAGCAAGACAGCTGGTGGTTTTCGGGTTGGGTCCAATGGGCTGCATTCCCCTTCAAAGGGTGCTCAGTACAACTGGGAATTGTCGAGAAAAGGCGAACAAGCTGGCTCTTACCTTCAACAAAGCTGTAAGCGAGTTAGTAGATGACTTTGGGAATCATTTTCCTGATTCAACCTATAGATTTGGAGATGCATATGATGTTGTCTATGATGTGATTAGCAATCCAAATAAGTATGGTAAGTAAATATGTTACTTTTCTAATAAACAGGATTCATACTCCATTGCCCATTATCTAAAAGAACCTGACACATTAAAACAATGAAAACAAAGCAGAGTGCATAAATCATTGGGATTCCGAACGTCTAAAGTTTTCACAATGTTGTTATTTGCTAAAGAATTTTCAACATATCACATATGATCAAATAATTAAAAATTGAGCTATGGCTTGTGTGCTGACTGCTGAGAGTTATTTACATCATAGCTACGTTTGCTTTGTAGGATTTCAAAACTCAGACTCACCATGCTGTTCCTTCTGGAATATTCGACCCGCCCTTACATGTGTACCTGCATCAAGTCTGTGCAAAGATAGAAGTAAATATGTCTTTTGGGATGAATACCATCCCACAGACAGTGCTAATGAGCTTATTGCAGATGAACTCATCAAGAAATTTGGACTTCTGAATTCTGATCAAGGGGGTGCACCTTCACCAGCTCCTGACGCTGCTCCATCTCCTGATGTTGCTCCATCTCCAGAAGACCAGTGAATACCAGTGTCCCTGTCAGTTATACATAATAGTGCGTCTTAATAATCACACATAATTTCTTGTTAGAACATAAGAACGAAACTTCGGATTTCTCCTTTCATTTTGCATCACACATGTAACCCACCAGTTAAGTGTGTAATTCTGTCTTTCTCTTTTAAGTCCAGCCTTATAGTATCTTGTTCAAGTTCAGAAAATCGGTTTAGCTGAACTGGATCATTTGCAGCCAATTAAGTTTTTTTATTATCATAAAAAGGTTTCATATCTCTTAACCTCAAGAACCAATGGGTTGCAGACCGGGTCAACTCTATCTCAAACATAATCAAAGAATGTTCAGCAGCTCACTGCAATTGCTACATTTCAGTATGAAAGCAATTGCACGGTGCTGGTTGTAACACCCCGATTTACGGGTCTTACACTGGTAGACATATATTAATACACAAAGAGATAAAGTACCATATATCACGAACCTGACATCAAGAGGGTTCTCAGATAATTCTCAACTACTGTTATGAGTGAAAAACCCCAAATGACTGAAAAGCATTAGCAGTAAGGTATGCATTTACGATAAAAACTTGCTAGCAGCTTCACGTATGTTAATCTCTCTGACTCTAAAAGAGTTGACATTACTCAAAAGTTAAGTACTAATCATGATTAGCTAATTGCATCCCCAAATTAAGCTTTAGCTTGCAAATATTGTGTGTGTCTGTGACTTTATTTACTGTCTATTCAGACTGCTCATGCTTAGCCTAGTGAGCCATTCTTACCTATTGAAAAATGAGCAAAGAAATATGAAGCTGAAAGAATTGAGCTAAATATTATCAGAGAAAATCTAGAATCACAAGTTTAAATTAGTGGGAAAAAAAATCCCAATTGTCAAAGATGTACTAGGTAAGAAATAGTGAAGAACACCAAAATCTTACAGATATTGTTTTGGAAAACTGACACTGACTTGGTCAGTAACAAGGAAACATCCACTGTTAATATGTTGCCTCTATGTCATTAGTTTAGTATCCTTTGGTGCATCTCAGACGTTTATGCAGACGATAGAATTTATATATTAACTCAGATTAACCAAAGTGCCAAACATATTCTGAGACCGAGATGATTTTTCATTGCCTCCTATTCCATTTCTCGTTCTTCACATGGCACGGCAAACAACTGAACAACGTCATAAAACTCCCACGTTTGCAAGCATGCAAATTAAGAGCACCACTTTGGATGACAGAAGATTCTGTAGATTTGGGAACTTTTAGAGTGGAAATTATTCTTGTAGCTTTTGCTTTAGATGAAAAACCTATCTGGATTATAAAAAATACAGCACTCAGTTTATAATTCTAGAAATCATACACAACATTAACGTGGACCTGTTTCACATACTAATGTCTGTGATATTTTATTGCAGAGAGATTATGTATCTTCATTAGAATATGGTCTCTGTGAAACATCCTGTTAAAGGCTTACACCTGAACTCTACGTCCAAGACTTGTAATTTTTTGCTAGCATTACTTTATGCACATCAAGTATATTAAAATCAAATCTCCATACTTACGTGCAATGTACAGATACGAGTCTCTGATCTTATGTGCTTCTACTTAATTCTTCCACTAACTTCATATGTCACAATGAATATTATTTATATTGGCCTTAAACTTTTATAGGATATGCTCGAGAAAAGGCGTATAGGGGAGTGGTAGACAAAACTATGTCCCTGTCAACATTATTCATCGCTTTCTACGCTGTTCAAGTGTACTTAGTGCCCAACTAACTTGATTACTAAAATTAAATAATCATTTTGGATTAGTTCTGATTTCACTTTCCAAGAACATGGTTATGCAATCCCTATCAACTTGCTCTCGGTGGACAAAATGGTTCTTCACTTTTAAATCGCCATATTTCTATGGTGGACAAAAGAAGGGCCAAAAAGAAAGCTTATACGTCTGTTTAATGCTTAATGCATCACTGATTCGTGAGCAACTATTCACATGAAACATTTTTTATTTGGCGACTTAATATTGGGGTGGAGGGTTTTGGCACCATGAACGATCCGTTGCGATGCGTCCGAGACTTACTTTAATTGCATGCATGTAGTGTGGTATTACCAAAATAAGAAAATAAAATCTATGTACGTTTTATTTCTGCGTAGATTTATTAGTGGTTGGTTTTTGCTTCCACACGAATTCTTTGGGTGAGAAGCCTTTAGAATACTAGCCATGATTTTGAAGATAAAACCTGTGAAATACAAATTTTGTAATTGTACTGCTCTTATCAGTTGAATAACATAAATCTGAAATCCTTATACATGGATAAAAAAGCAGAATTTAATCAGTTTAACAGACACGCGAGTATAAAAGTCTTCATATTCTCAGTTAATCAGAAATCAGCTTTGTCATGACTTTTAACATGATTAGCATAAAAACATAAAAATTACTACATATATATGATCATTTGTGATTAGATAGCAATATAAATGACTTGTGCATAGTGAGTGCATGTATTATTTATTCTTGTCAAACATGAGTGAGTTCACATGTAATCATACAAAAGAGTGGGGATGAAACTCTAGTTAATCCAATATTCTCTCATCGTAGTAACATAATTGCCTCTAGCATTGACCAATTATGGCCACTTATATAAGATTATGCTATACAGACAGCTACCTACAGCATTTAACACGCTATGGTGCTTTTGGTGTGTGACGACCATTAGGCCCTGATGGGGAATAATCGAGGAGTTCCAACTCCATCCTCTCAGTAATGGTTGGTTCCTCCAAGTGCCAGTATTTCTCAGTGATAACCTGTGTTTAAATAAAAGGAACATAAATTCATTGACATGATGTCTGGTTAAAAAACAATGCTTTACGTGTCTTAAACAACATGGGAATGAATAAGCATAAGGTATCAAAGTGCACACCACCTTGTGGCTGTTCTCCGGTGTAAGATGAACTTGGGGACCTTGCATAATGTTTTCAATTCCTGCTTATATAAACAAGCCATTCGTAAGATGAAGGAGAACTACAACTCTACTAGAACAAAATTAGAACTCGTGTGGTAGAATTTACTTGTAACTGGCACTGCTTTCAAGCACATAAGATGAGAAAGCCCGAGAAGAATCACGAATAAACGAAAGAAGGTGCCTGCCATCTTGTATTGCATTTCTCAACAACAAACTCTGGTTGTGGCTTCCCATATGCTAGTTCTCAATTTATACTAGTGCACGATGTTTTTTCTGGATGTTTTTTTAACATGGAAAATCCATCATGGAGGAGCAATCATGTTACCAAAGTCAAAAAGGTGACAGCAACCCATTATGGAGGAGCAATCACGTTCCACTCTTTGTAGAGCTTTTATCAGCTTGTGGCATTTTCGTATGTGAAAACCTAAAGTATCTTGAGGAATTGTTGAATGGTCCAGAATCATCATGTATCTATGATTCTGATCAATTCCTACATATTTAAGTTTTTCAATTTACAGTAAAAAAATTAATTATGTGTTAAGAAAATATTAAAATAAACCATAATGATCCTGAATCATCTTATAATTTTCAAGTATTGAGGTGCAGAGAATTGTTAGGCGGATGTGAAAGCTATATTTTAAGTCAAAATGGAGCACACTATGGAAGTGGAAAGATGACACAGAAACGTTGGAGAAGTAAAACCTGTAGATTAATCGAAGTCAAAGGGTAGTGGGATATGCAAAGGGCAGATTAATTGAACTGTATAGAGACAGAATAGGTAAACTCCCAATGGAAAACAGCACTTAAACATTTGAGCCTTGATTCCACTGGTATATCATTCAAGAATAATTCTCACGTTTCGCATCAGTAGCTAAAGCATTTATAAATATTTTTAGAGTCGCTTGAGCAGAAAAGCCTACTAATTTAAAGACACCCCACTCAGTAAAAGACAAGTGACATGTGATGTTCGAAACCCAGATAAAGCGGGTCTTAAACAAAGACAGACAAGTCACACAAGTTAAAGGACCCTGCTGTAACTCTTATTAGACATAGACAAGACTCAAATGAGTTCTTAGAAAGGTTGACCTTCTACCAGGTGCAAATTTTCTGAATGATAAATAATTTGTGTTTCTTCTAGAGTTAATTTAAGCTTTATTGCGCCTATTGTTTTTGTCTGGCCAAAGTGTAATATAAGAGTAAAAAACTAGTGGTTGCACATTGGCTGCTGTTGCTGGGAGTGGAAGTAATCATAATCAACAAGGAAAACAGCTGAAATGTTGTAGTCATATGTTATTGCTAGGGTAGTGGGAACAATTTTCTCCACTAATCTGTGAAGTGGCGAGCAACTTTGCTACCTGTAGACCACAGAAACTCTGTTGCTAGACAGAAAACTGGAAGCTATTAAAATTTCTATTTTCTTCAAAGAGAAAAGGCACAAGAATTAATAGGTAGAATTCTCATTATAATTAATGGTATGAATTATAGGAAACGGGTTGTTACAATGGGTAGTTTTAATTGTTATTATTACTATTACTATTAATTTCACAGTTATTATTCCTTTTGTCCAAAGTTGTTACTTTGAATAAAAGTATGAGCTTATTCATTTCATGGTATCAAAGATTTCAGCTAGAGTTTATTGCAGCGAAATTTGACAACCCGTAAATGTTCTATTAGAATTGTTGTATGCTTTGTAAGTTTATTAAGAAGAGAGACTTACAATGGAAAGAAGAAAATGCCCAATAGAGAAAGGGCAAAGAGTCTGGTTTTAGAAGTCTTAAAGGATGTTTCTTGTATCTTGCATTAACAAGTCTTGATCTTGATATTCACAACAAGAAGTCTTGAACAAGTCTTATTGGTTCATTTTTTTTCTCTCAACGTTCTACCATACTGTGAGACAATTGTACATCTTCACACAACTTAACATATGCTTAAATATAATAAAGGAACTTGATTATATGTTAAGTGATTTAGTTATAATTATTGAATAAAGTAAAAAACTATATATATGAAATTAATCTAGTAGAAAATATAAATAGAGTAATACAAACTGAAGAATAATAAAAAAGTGAGAGAAGATAAATAACTAAAGATAAAATATTAATTTAAGATATTTTACACTCCCTTCAACCTAGTGTATATAAACTATATGTACCAAACTTGTTACAAATATAATCAATTCTTGGTTTTCGTAAAGACTTAGTAAAAATATCTCTTAACTAATTACTTAAGTAAATGAACTCCATTTTGATATTTTCAGATACAATCTTTTCTCGAATGAAATGATTTAATGTATGTGGTCCTCTCATGAAATACATGATTATAATTAATATGTAAAGTAGTCTAATTGTCACGTATAAGTGTCATTTGAGTGACATCTTGAATTTGTAATTCTCTAAAGAATTACTTGAGTCAAATAAGTTCACAAGTGGTTGAGGTCATAACTTTATATTGTGGCATTAGATCTTGCCAAAACACTTTTTTTCTTGTTTTTTCAAGAAATCAAGTTATCACCAATGGAAACACTATTTGGAAGTAGATCTTCTATAAGAAGGAGATCCTACCCAATCAGCACTTAAATAACAAACAACTCTTGTATGGTTATTTGAACTATATAACAACATTTTCCAAGAGACATAAGTCCAGTTCCAGAAATAGGAGGTCGAATCTAGCAACAATGATCGGAGTAGAAGAAGACGACAAATGTGCCGTCACGAGTGGTTGGAAAAGAGGGCATCTACAAACTTCAAACGACGTATGGGAGTGTGTTTGGACTTTGATGTCATCAATCTTGATGACGTTGGGGTCGTTGGTCAAAAGTAAGCTCTAGCGATGACAACTCTAACTATAGTAATAATTGTAGTGGACAACGATGATGACGATTATAGTGAACAACTATCATGAAAATTTTTCAAAAAGAATCTAGATTCTAAATATCATATTGAATATAATAAAAATATATATATTATTAATCTTCTTTAATACTTTATTTATAATAAAGAAAAGTTTCGATTAAATCCAAAATACAAATTAAAAAATAAAATAAAATAAGTAACTAAAATTAAAATATCTAATAATTTAATATACCTAATAATAATCAAGAATTTAGTCTCGATATAAGAAGATTTGACAAATAAGCTATTCTTTTTAATCTTATGGTTTGTTTTTAACAAAGAACAAATCAATTCTGATTTTTAATTAAAAATAAACATTCCAAAAATATATATGCTTCACGCTAATAGTATATATACATATAACAGTTATATTAATTGTTTGAATTAATTTAGCTAAAATTAATTTTAGTCAACTTTAAACAAATCAGAAACTCAATCTGTATATTATATCAATTAAAACAATGTTTATTGGCTAGATTTTTCTTTTGTCCACTCTGGCCAGCTTTCTCCAACAATGTCCAAAAATGTCAACCTTAATTCTTTGTCCTCGTATATGAATAAAATATCAAGAATATCTAGAGTTATATTCCGAAAAAAAAAATTATGTCTTGACATTTTACATTGAATGATAGCAAAAGAAATGTTTTACACTATCAGTGCTGAATACTAAGCTCTTCTTGGAGTGAGTAGCCAAATCAAAATTTTAATAAATTAATCTATCACGAGCCATAAATATTAAAGAGATAAAAGGAGTAAAAAAGAAACATTCCTTCTTTTATTTTTATTTTCCTTTTATTGCTCTCCCTTCCATCTTCACAATAGGATAGTGGTATGGGCCTTGGCCCAATGAAGTATTCAACCTTCATCTTTTACTCACTACACCCACAATTTCTTTGTGCACTCCTCTAAATATTCAAAATAACCATTTTACCTTTTGAAAATGTGACTTCCAGATTATATGTTTTGAAAACTTTCCGAAACAAACTTCCAGAATAAGATTTCCAAAACGATATTTCTGAAACAGTGTTTTTGAAATATATGTAATACATCTTGGAATAATATTTTCCAAACAAACTTTCAAAAAAATATATAATGACTTTCGAAATGAGTTTTCCTAAATTCTTCTACATAAAATATGTTTTAAAAGAATACTTTTTGAAACATATGAAATATATTCCGAAATAAGTTTTGTGGAATGAGTTTTCACTTTTTCTTTCTTTACGACGTTCTTTCTTCCTTCTTCCTCCTTTGCAGTGAAAGTGACAATGACTACGCTGATAATATAATGCAATCGTAGAGAGTATTCGAATATATTTATTATTATTATTATTATTATTATTATTATTGTTATTATTATTATTATAATAGGACTGCAGGAAACAGTAATCTTAATCTTTTAAAAACGGGCTTGTGTGTTTGTTTATTAGGTAATTGCTTCTTTCTTCATTATGCTAGAAATATTCCGAAATATATTTTAAATTTGTTTGAAACAGATATTTTATGAAGAATTTTTTTTATTATAAATAAATTTAAAATAGTTAAAAAATAATTTTATATTACACACTTGTTATGTTATCCGGAACCCTTATTTCAAAATTGATCTTTTTAACGCTTTTAGATTATACAATTGAAAAGCAGTTTAATTTATTTTTTTAAAGTACAACAATTTAAAAATATATGATCAGAGTGTGACAGGAAAGTGTGTTAAGCAAAATTGGGTTGCAGGAAGCAATAGTATTATTGTCATGACAGTTCAAAATTTATAAAATTGATTTAGTGTTCGGAAAGTAAAATCCAATGTAATCGAAATTTGTTGGGAAATTGGAACGAAGGGCGTTACGGACAATTCATACATGCAATCTTTACGAAAGAGCTTTTCGGCTTTTGTGATATTATTATAAGAGAGAATAGGAAAGATATTTGGTGCAAGTTCGATTATGATATAGTATGAAGTTAATAATAAAGTTATATATGTATATTAAATGTTGTGTTTAATCAAAGCTTTTGGCATTTTGTGTATACTTAAAGTGGGTTAAAACGACCTTAATCCTGAACCGACCACGCAGCCCATTGCATTATCAAAAGTATTAATTATTGTTAATTATCTATCTTTAATTCTTGTGCTCCTTAATTACGTGTATTACCACTGCAACTCACTTTCTATTAATATATTTAAATTCAGCACTTAGAGCGACACGCGTTCTCATCCATAAAAGTAAACCCAAAGGACATGCATGGAAAGTGATCCATACGTGCCAATACATCCGACACGTGTATCACCCACGTGCGAATTAATTGAATATTTTAAACCCCTGTATTGAAGAGAAAA